TTGCAGCCTTGAGCGCGATGGAGGGGCCACCCCAGATACATCTTGCCAGACCTCATCTGGAGAGGCCATGATGACACAGAGGTCGACCAGAAAGCTGACAAATTGACTGCCTTATGTTCATTCAAGTTTTTAAGTAATCAAATTACTCAAACCCAGGTAGACAGTCTTAATTCCCAGAAAGAGCTTGCTTTATAAATCACCCACAGAAAACCGTTTCTCTCTATTTCCCCCAAGTCTCTCTTATTGGTAGAAAGCTGTTATTTTTAGATTAAAACTAAACCTTTCAAGCAAGTCAGATTATCTTTCTGTGTCATTGCTTTAAAATATAAAACCTGAACTTCATAAAGGATTTTTCCTTTTTTCTACAGAGCATCATCTTTATCCATTTCTGGGCCATGTCCTTTTATTTATAACCAGAAGGCCAAGTTTTCTGAATGCCATGACCTTATGTGTAGAGCTGTCAGTGTGAGAATTCTTATCGTTCTTACATAAGTGTGCACTCAGAGTGTGTGCGTGAGTGCAAAGTCACTGTTAGTGGGCTTACCTGTTCTCTTTATTCCTCTCATTTTCCCCTAACTTCCCTTTGAAGCTAAGAAAAAATGCATACATAGCGGATACACCTGGGCTTCCCCAGTGACTAAGGATATGGGTTTAAGCTAAGCTCCCACCATATTTATCTGCTTATGGAGTGTCATCAATTGCTTAACAGTTCGTGCTTCTGCTAAGGTTGAATATGTGATTATTATCAGCTTTACAGTGAGTCCAGATCATAATCAGTCAGAGGGCCAGGGCTCTGTCCACTTTATTATTATTTTGAAGTGTCCCTTGGTCATCTCTCCACTTTGTTCCTGAAGGAGGGAGTCCATAATTCTGCTGGTTTTGCTTTGTTTCATCAAACTTCTCTGCATTTCCACATGTCTGCAACAGCACCCAACATCAGACAGCATGGTGAATGAGTAGAAGATGAACTCAGGAGGCTGCTAGACCTGGGTTGGAGTCTGTTTGCTATCCCTTAGTAGCTCTGTGGTTATGATCCAGTCACCTAACCTCTCTGTGCTTTGATTGTCTCTTCTGCAAACAGGAGTAATACCAACATAATGTACTTGAGGCACAGTGCAGGGCACACATAACACTAGCTACTGTTGTTATAGTACTAAAAATTATAATAATTATTATTGTCAAGCTGAACAGCTGTAGAATGGGTAGTGTTGGCGTATGCACTTCAAAGAAAATGGATTCCCTCTCTTGACAAAATCACCCATAAATCATTGACATATTATTTTCTACCATTTCATCTGATCCATCTAGACAATAAATTCACACATATAGATGAAAAATCCTACAGACAGGACAATGGAAAGGAACAGTGTGTGACAGTCCTAACTGGTAGATAATCAGTATGTGCAAGACCTGTGGGGTAGACAGACCCAGGGCATTCCTTGTTGGTCTCTGCAGTAGGATTAAGGGTGTGGATCTAAATAGCAGGGTCCTCACGAATACGGGCAGGCCTCCATGCCAATCTCTTGCCTTCTGCCTCAGCCAGAGTGCTCCTTCTAGGACTGACCATTAGCATCCTAGCCCTGACTGAAGAATAGGATCTTCAAGTCAGAGTGTGAGTGGCCAGTTCCAAACCAGAGACTCGGGGTCTGGCCAGGCCAGAGAAGCCAGGTCAGAGCGACGAACCCATTGAGGGAAGCTGCGTTATAGCAGACAATGTCAATGCTTCCAGACGGTCCCCTGAAATCTCTTTTTATCATTTCTGATCGCCCCCTACGTTGTTTGGTGTGATTTCCATCACCTGCACCTGTGACTCATCTCTGGCAGCCTATCTTCTGGATACTAGAACTACTTGGCCCCTCACACAGAGAGCTTCTGACCCTCCCTTTTAACCCACAACCATGGGGTGGAAGCAGAAAAGTCCAGGTTGTTTGCCTTGGGTGGCCACCACTTGGAGGCAGGCTCTCCAGTCCAGAGGTCCCCTGCAAAATCAGACTGAACCTTTCCCCCACTAGCCTCCTGTCCCAGGTGGCTCCTTGCTCGTCTTCCTCCCCTGTCGAGACTCCCTGCTCCCTTATGTGCATCCTCAGGAGCAATTTCTTAATAAATTACTCCCATTTAAGTCATTATCTCAGGTCTGCTCCTGGGGCCTCCCACCTAAGCCATGAGTCAAGGCAACAGTCCCGAGTATGGGAAGTCGCTAAATTCTCCTCTAAAATTCCCCACCTTCCAGCCAGACACTAGATCTGCATTTCATTCTCTATTTTGTCTTTTGGGATTTGATCCCTTTCAGATGAACCAAGACTCTTGCTCGAGTTTGCAGCATTCTAATTCTTGGTTATGATTCTTTCCCATTTTCAAACCCACAGCACATAAATATGACACATGAGGACCTAGGGCTGAGAGAGCCTCCTCCCCAGGGGTCAGACGAACCTCCCAATTCCAGGCCAGTGGGTGGAGGCTTTGCAGGGTGAGACAGTGGTTTCCAGCCTCACCAACAAGTCCTCTTTCAGCACTTTTTCTGTGATGGGTAGTTCAATCTTGGCTGTCATTCTGCATCCGTACGATAGCCTGATCCAAAAATGAACAAGGTCCCTTTGGGCACTGGGGTTCCTGATTGGCCCCACAACTTGGCCCCCTCTCTCTAAACTCCTTTTAAGGAGGCTTGGTCTATAACCCAGGACTCACACGGAGACCCCGGGAATATAGAGCCCTGTTAAGTTCCCCACCAAACCCCTTGCAGATGAGACCTTTGGAGAAGACAAGTGAAAGGACCAGAAAAGTTCTTATTTCCTGTGCTCTCTCCCATCTTTGTTGACATTCAGGGTGGTAAACTGGGAACCCCAACTTGGGAAAGATAACAGAACTTATGGGCTCTGAATTTAGGGGTGAAACAGGTATTGTGCGTCTTGGAAACTTAAGCAGAAAGTGAGGCACAGGGTAGGATGCACACGGCAGAGAAGACGGAAGGTAGCACATGGCTCTGACAACCAGATCTGGTGCCCTAAATGAGTCTCAGCAAGACTTAAGGTGCCATTCGTCAATAGCCAATCCACACTCATGAGCAGGATGCAATAGAATCATGACATTCTGAGTTAGTATCATGCCAGCAATAAGCAAAAAATCCTTTTATTTAACCAACATGTACAGTCTTATTACCAAAGTAGGCTTTTTTTTTCTTCTAAGCTTCTAGGTATTTTTGCCTAAGTTTCTTTACTATAAACGTTTTTGCCACCAACATTTTTGCCACCAACGTTTTTTGCTGCATAACTAGCTGGCCATAAGGCAATTCTGCCGTAAAAGATAAAATATGAAAAATAAAAGAGAGACATTGAAAAGGGCATAATGAAACATGAGAAATGAATAAAAAATTAAGATTTTATTGTGAAATACAAGGCACTTGAATACATTTTAAATGTGTGTAGATTCACGCCAATCTAGACAAATAAAACGAGTTTATTTTTATTTTGTGGGCTGTACCTAACCACTTGTTTTCCAAGTCGTTCATAGTTTTTATACTTCTTTTCCTTGTTGATTTGTCTCCTCACTGAGCATCGCACATTTTCTTTCTTGCTAAAATTTCTTCCTTCATTAAGAGAGGTGTCAGTTAACAAAAACTAGAATGCATATTTGTAACTGAGCTTTGTACTGCATTGTGAAAACCTCCACACTGCTGTTTGTTCTTGGTTTGTTGTCACATGTCCACGGATAGACGTTCCAAAGTGCTATGGGAAATGTGGATTCAACTCTGTGACCTCGACGCCTCTTTCTTCTCCAATGTAGGGTGCTTCAAAATAAGAAATCAACTCCTGGGGCAAATCATTGTCATCTTCCATGATTTTTATATATTCTACGTCGAACCAGACTGTCAACCAGTTATTTTATCTTCCGTGGTACAGTTGCTTTACGGCCAATTACTTATGCGGTAAAAATGTTTGGAGCAAAAATGTCTGTGGCAAAGAAACTGACTGCAAAAATACCGGACAAAACCAAGAACAACTCATCACTTTTGGTAGACCCCTAGAGCCTGAAGCCCTACACAAGGAGGCACGGGGACAGACCTTTCAAAGTTGCTGCCATCATTGGCAATATCCCCAGTGGAGGGCTTAGGAGCAGGGACAATGGGTAGGGTTGGCTGCACTTATTTCTCCTGAATCTCCCCTGCCAAAATACAAGCTACTGTTAGGGTGATGGGGATACCTAAAAGGAGTCTTTGGGGACCAGGGCCAGACCACCCTATCAAGGTAGTTAAAGCCTCTCCTGGTTTCCAGTGGCTCAGAGGGGCAGAAGGGTGGGCTGCACCAGCATCAGAAATAACTCAGTCTCCCCTGTGACCCTGGGCTCACTCAGTGGGACTGAGCCATTCACCGCCCCTGCCCGACTGCATGTCTGCTTTGGCATTTTTCTCTGCAAAAAGGAGACAAACATGGGCAAACCTACCTTGTGGGCAGGCTCAGAAGCTTACTCCAAAAAATATCCCAGGGAGGCAACAGGTAGGGGTCCTTTCCTCGCATGTCCCAGCATCCATCGATGGCACATCCACAGACGTTGAATCTGCTGCATTCCAGGCGTCTGGAATCCCCAGACAGCAGACTCCAGCTGGGTAACTGGGGCAGGGATCTTCGGCTGCAGCACGAATAGCTTCATTCTATTGTGCACTACTTGTTTCTTTTTATCCTGCCCTGAACATTTTATGGGCTCCTGCATGTAAGGCCAAAGTTATTGTGCCAGCAAGTACACAATGTATCCATGGGGAAATCATTATTCTTGTGTGTTTGAAGCGCTTGTTTGAACTGTCTTTAAATTATTTCTCTGGAAATAGGTCTGGCTTGAATGTGTTTATCCCTCTGCCTTTGTTGGTGCTTGTTTGCCTTCGCTGGGCATTGGTAACAGATGAGCAGAGTCATCATAAGGTATTTAGCCGTTTGGGGCACTGTAGTTGCTTCCACATTTCTAGCCAGATAAAATCAACACAAGAACTGGGAAAGGATGTGATGGCTCAGAGCCCAGGGAGGGGAAAGTCGGGTTTGATGGGGATACAGAGCTCACCATGGAGCAGCTCAAGGAGAGATCTTCAGTTATAGAATTGAGTGTGTGTGTGTGTTTATACACAGGCACACATTCCCCCTCCCCTTTCTTTCTAATATACAGTAGATATCGCAGGAATCCTGAATCAGAAGCGAGATAATGAGTGAGAAATGATGTCCAGAGACATAAAACAAAAGCAACATGGAAGTTCTATGTTGGGCCTTGCCTCGTCTCATGTGTGATTCTAAAGAAGTCACTTTCCTTCTCTGAACAGTGGAAAACTTGGACCAGAGCTGAGAGCCCTCCCAATTTTGATTTTCCAGGAGAACAATGGTGAAGAAGATCCCGGGGAAATCCAGGCAGAGGGACTCTTCCTAACCCAGAAGGTATATTGCGAGGGGGTCATGCAGTCCAGGTGGCCTGGCATCATACTTACTAACTAGTGTGGGTTCTGGAGTCCCACAGCAGAGGTTCAAGTCCAGGCTCTGCTACTCCCTAGCTGTGCAACCTTGAGCCAGCTCTCAACTTCTCTGTGCCTTTATATCCTCATCTTTAAATTGGGGTTAATAATAATAGCTGGTAGCAGAGGGCTTGAGGGAGGAATAAATGATGTGCATGAGACATTTAGAACTGTACCTACCCACCTAGAGAGTGCTCAGTGGGTGCTTTTAATGTAAGTATATAGCTACACATGTATTTATGTGTGCACACACACACACACACACACACTATATATATATATATCTCTCCATATATTACTCCAGTAAAGTGGAAAAGTCTATCAATGAATGTGGCAGAAACTGCCAGATGCCTACCAATAGCTTTTCACCCTTGGGAAAAAATAAAGACAAAGTAAAACCCTTGCCCAAGATGCCAGGATTCAAATTCCAGCAAGCTGATTCCAGAGCTTAGATTGCAGGGTGTGAGAAGGGTTGGTGGACTACGAGGTTAGGAAGTGCAGCTGTACATCGAAGTGTGAGGACCCATGAGCTTTGTCTGTGCCCTGCAGATGGCAAGGAAGCCTCTAGAGCTACAGAGCAGGGGCGTGGCTGGGTCCGGAGGGTTTAGGAAAGGTACTCTGGGACAGGGTGGAGGATGGATTCAGTGACAGGAAAGACTGTGTGGGGAAGCCGATGGCAAGTTGTTGTAATCCTCCACAGAGACCAGGGAGACCTGAGCTGAGGCAGTGGCTGGGGGTGGGGTCTGGGCACCAGAGTGCTCAGCAGACTGTGAATTCTGCTTGGGAGACTTGGTCATGCGGGGAAAAAAGCAGCAGCATTTTTGGAGAGGAGAATGTGGTAATCTCAGCTTGAGATATTAAACTTGAGGTGCCTAGAGATCCCTGGGGAGATATGTTCAGTGGTTGCGTTGCTTAGGAGAGCAGTCCAGTCTGAGCACAGAAATCCCAGCGGATGGAGGGGATTTTCATCCAGCTGAAGCCTGAAGCCCTGAAAAGGGATGTAAGAGCTCAGGGAGGTCCCCCCAAGCATGAGAAGAGAGCATCTTGAGAATGCAGCTTGCATGGGTTCTGCTCTTCCCCCAGCACTCAAAGTGTCAGATGCCAACATTGGGAACCAAATCAGCTCCCAGATCTTCACAGGGTCCTGGTACCCACTGTAGCTTCCTCTGAACCAAGCCTAGGGCCTGTCGTCTAGTGCCTTGGCTCCCTTTCAAAGCCTTGCTAGTTCTGGACGGGACGACTGTTACCAACCACTGACCAGGCCGCCCAACCCTCCCTCTGATCTCTGTCCACAGCGGGCAGAACTCCCTCCGCCGAGTTCACATTCCCAGATGCGCCTGAGGCTCCTACAGAAGAGACCAGACACGGGGGAGACTCTGCTTTGATCTTCCAACCACACGAGAGGCGCCATTGAGCTACTCCCGTACTCAGCCAGGTGTGTCTCACAGCATCTGAGGGGCTGGGCAGGAGAGGTGGCCTCCCTGGTTCTCCTGGCTTTGATCGTCACAAGGGCATTTTACAGCAAAGATGTTTAATACGGCAATTGATGTTTATATCTAACACAATCCCCCCTAATCTCCAATTTCTGTCTCTCCCTATCTTTTAACTCAAGGATGATGGGGTTAGTAAACTGGGTGTGGGAGGGCGTAGTGGGAGGTGGGGGACAGTAGGGTGTGGAAAACATGGTTAAGAACCCTGAAGATTAACCCCAAGTTGAACTTTTAGTTGGGAGAAGCCAGGAAAGGTTAAAACCTATACTGAGTCCCTGCAGACGAGGTAGATTTTCTCTGGCTGCCCCGTTGTCTGGTCCAAGAGGATGAGTTCTTCCCCTCCACAGAGGGGAGAGGCTGGCGAGCAGCTGTTTCAGAATCCACAGGTCTACGAGGTGGCTTTCTGTGAAACGCTCTCCCTCTACAGTAAGAGCATAGCAAGAGGGAAGACTTCAAAGTACAGCAAGAAATATTCAGGCCAGACAGAAGAAGGAACTTCCGGGCAGTGAGAACCACTGGGAGAAAATTACAGAAATAGTATTTATCTGATGTCATTTGGATGCAGTTTTATTGGAAAGCAAAAGAATGGATGAGGCATTCCTGCCCCAGGAGGGCACACCCGAGAAGAAAGTTAAATATCCCTAAATTCTGGGGGAGAATTGGTTGATGTGGAAACCTGGTGAAATGGCTGATGCCTGGGGTCTGGAGCCAGATGGACATAATATTTTATCCCAACTTCAACACTTGTTAACTGGGTGGCCCGGCCCAAGTGAAAATAACCACACAGAACCTTGGTTTTCTCATCTATAACAGGTATCATATTAAACGTGCAGGATTATTTTTACCTACCAGAGAAATATATGTAAAACAACCTACACATAGTGGGGATTCAATTTTTAAAACTTGGATTGGGTTTTCCACGGACTTCTGTTTTTCTTTGCATGTAATAAAGCACTTAGTTCTGGTTTCTATTAGAGTTGAAAAGCATTCAGATCTGACCAGGAGCAAGAGTCTTGAGGCAAAAAACAAACTCCATTGTCTGCTTGTTTATAATTGGTGACATCTTACCCATTACGTCTAGGACTGGCGGTGACTGGGGAGGGAGACAAGGGCCCTGTGAAGTGTCTAGTTGATGCTCTGGTTTAAGCTGCAGAGTTTTTATGACACCAGCATCCATGGCTTATGGTCATGGAAGCACGGTCCAGGTCCCTGTGAAAATGCCCAACACCCAAAGGCCCCCTGGGGAAAATGAGGGGAAGATCACTTCCAAGTAACATGAAAGCCAACCCTTTGTCTTTTCATCATGTCTCCAGTGCTAAACGTATTGCTTCTCTAAAGCACAGACTCAGCTCCCTCGCATGGACCAGAAGCTGATTTTTAAAATGCTCTAGATTGGGAGCCTCTCAAAAGCCAAGGCAATGATGCTGTGTTGCATTTGTGAACAAGGACAGCAGGACAGCATCTTGTGATTAAGCATGTTTAGCAAATGGAAGATACCCACCACCTGCAGGCCTTTCGCTGGCAGCAGGGATCCACTTACACCCTCTCTTCTGGACCATCAGGGGAACCCTGTGTGAGACAGCTGGCAGGACTGGGTGTCCTGCATGCTCATGGAAGATGGGAACAAGCCGTCTACACTGGGATCGGATCCTTCAGTCTTAGTCTCTGTGCAGTGACCTGCCTAGCTGACCTTGGTACCCAGGTCTCTGAGTAGCTGAGTTCTTGAGAATATTTGGAGGCACCAGATATCATGTCTTTCTGATTTTTGTTCTCATCCTATTCCAGAAGGACCCCAGAAATCCCAGAGATAAGAGCGGCAAAATTCTTAGATCAGAGACCCCACCCATAAAATCTCCATTTGGTATTAAAATTCCCCATATCAGTTAGCATATATGCTGGGCTATCTGAGACACATGGCTTATATACAATGATGAAGCCTATTACCCTTTTTATTTCATGAACACATCATGACCGGGGTTAATATCCAAAATACATAAACAGCTCATACAGCAGGGTGGGGAGGGGAGGAAACACTCTGAGATCTCTGTCTGATCACCCTCTGAGGCCCTGCCACTACCCTTCCATTGCCTGAACCCAAATGGCACGGAGAGGGCAAGGGAGCCCAGGTGATGGAGTTTGTACAATTTAGCCTCCCTGAGCACAGATGGGTGTGGATAAGGGTAGAGGATGGTTTCTAGGGGCAAAAATAGAGTAGCCAGCAGATGAGACTGTCAAGTGAGTCTCAACTGAATTCCCCTTAGGATCCAGACATTTCTAGGCAGGTCTGGAAGAATAAATAACAGTGCAGCCCAACAGGGCACTGTTTACATGAGAAACCTGACTCCTGAGAAAGAACACTTCCCAAGGGAAGGATAAATGGAGGTGGAGAAGTTGGTTTAAGGACAAGGGGCTCATAAACCAAAGGGATGCCTGATTCTAAGATCAGTGCATTATCTGTCACTCACATTAAACTCTGACCCATTCCACTGCGCTCATGCCCAAGTCTTGGGCCAAGAGGGTTCTGCTAAAAAGCCAACAAAGATAAAGAGTATCATTTGCATGAGACACTGGGAATGTGAGGGGCAGAGCATGGCAAGGGCAGCCAGGATTCGTGATGGCAGTTGTAGTTTCAAATATTAACTCTAGAGGTGCTTTTAGTGTCCACACCGGGGACCTTGGCTCAGACAGTCTGCAGCAGCTGAACTAGGGAAGCCATCAGGGGCAAAGCTGGCACTGCTACCTTTTGAGATGGCTAGAGTTGTCTGCATACTGAGCTGGAGCAGAAGGGAGGAGGACTGTGCATCCAAAGGGTCAAATCAATGGGACTTGTCAGGGCAACAAGGAACTGAAATTTCTGCAGGGAACATGAGGGCAGGGGAACTAGAGAAATACTCTTTGGTGCCTGTTATTGTTATTCCATTCCTACCTGCAGCCTGGGACACATGAAGTCACATACAAAGAGAACCGGGCTAAGTCTGTGTGTTCTTCAGGGTTCCAGCAGGAAACAGGCCATCACACTCAAACAGGGTTACTTCAGGCCAGCTTAGTGAAGGGGCTACTTCCAAAGGTCTGGGTGGGAAAGAGAATCCACAAAAGGTAGTGCAACAACCTGGGGCTGGCCACAGCAAGGAGCTATGACAATTCCCAGGCCGGAAAGGATGAAGGGAGAGAGTGGCTACCAGAACCCACAAGGAGCAGTGGACTTCGGCGTAGGAAAGTGGCTTCCAGGGAGGTTAGGCACCAGGAGTGGGAGGGGTAAATCTCCTGATGTCCCTTTCTTTGAGTCTCCAAATGCTGGTGTCCCCCTCCCCACTGGGTAAGTCTAAGGTCAGCCTCCCTGGACACAGAGAAGGGTGGAAGGGAGTAGGAAATGAATTTGGAGGGGCAAATCGAAGACATCCAGACTAGTCGTTGGACAAAAATATATTCTACCACCAGCTGCCTGTCTACCTAATATATTAAATAAACTCAAAGAGTTTGGTCTGTTATAGAGTTCACTCCACTGGTCTTGGAAAATGGGTCAGAAAGAACCCCATCCACTGTGATATAATTAGCTTTACTACCATGGAGTTTCTTTATGTTTTGGTGAACTTCTTAGCAAGACCCAATTTAGGTATCTGGTTATCTGAGTCCAAGGCAAGTGATGGTATTAAAAGGCAGTGTCAGGTTAATGCATTCAGGGTAAAGGGTCATGGGACTTCCTGAACTGCATTTGAATTTGTTACAGAAAGATCAGATCTGATGTTCCACGTGCCACAGGAGGTCCACGGGGCCAGAATCAGTGCAATGAAGTAAAAAGCCACTAAACGGTTCCCTAGTGACCCAAGTTAATCAGATTTCACCAAATGCTTAACCACGGGAAAGAGTTTACATATGGAAGACACTGCTTCTTGCACCTACATTTGATTTCTTTCTCCTCTGAAGCAATGTACTTCCCACAGGGTAACTTTCTAAAACTCGGGCCATTTAATTTGGGGAAACAAATTTTGTTTTACAAAGGAAAGACTTAACTTCACGTGTTTCCCTCCAGATCCTCTGACTTTCTGAGATTATGTATTTTGCTGTTGGGGAGCTTTTTCCTCCTCAGTTATACAATAAACTCTTTGTTGTTGAACACTGTATTAACCACAACCCTCTAGTAACCAGCACATCTGTAAATCTCCAGTACAATAATTGTTGTTCATAACCTTGACCCTGGGGCTCTGCGTGGTCTCAGATGCCTTCCAAGTCATCAAAGGGAATGCACTAAAATGATTCTGCATTCCCAGGGCTCACATCAACCAACCACAGAGGGAAGGAGTCCAGATCAGTGCTAGGTAGAAGAAGAAATTAAGTGGGGATTTCACATTTGCCACAGGTAATTCACTGAATGGATAATAAAAATCTACACTACATCTGTGAGAGCTTGCCCCACTCAATGTCTTTCTTCATGGTGAACATGGACTCAAGCAAAATACTTGGGCACAGCTTTGAAAGTACACAGCTAATAAAAGCAGATGTCAATGTACCCAATTAAATCGCTGCTGTTTGTGCTGAATTTATATTATCCATTGACAAATTAGAGGTAGATAAAAAGCTTTTAAAATTTGAAACTTTCATCTAGGAGTGGATGAAACATATCCATCTGCTGACCACACAGCAGCAAACTCTTAGGTCATCTCCGGTAACCGGGATGGGCAGTACCAAGTGTCACAGGGAATGCTTTCCTCCCTTTGAGAAAATCTCTTTATTAGTCACAAATACAGAAAAGAATAAAAGCATTAAAAAAAAAAAAGAAAGAAACAAAGAAGGAGGAATAGAAGAAAAAGATTGATGTTGGGAGGGGCAGTTGTATGACCAGACTGATCAGGAGTCCCAAATTCAAGCTCACTTCTTAAATGCATCACGGCAAGAGAAAGGCTGCAGAGTATGCTTCTGCAACATGAGGTGAATTTCATTCTGGAGGAAAACCAATGCATTAGACCCCATGTAAGTTTCTGTGTAAGTCAGGTGCCACCGCCATCGAAGACTGGATTTGACAGACAACGTAAAACTGGTTGATTGGCATGTGGGGGGAAATCGGTTGGATTAGGGAAGAACAAAATCAGATTCTACCATAGTTAGCATAAACGTCTCTTCACAACAAACCTAAACATATTTGATTTTACACAAGAACACCAAGAACAGGATGCTGTAATTTCCACAGATAGAGATAAGCCAGTCCCTAGAAAGATGTTTTTAAAAGGTTATGGTATAATCTTATATCTATAAAAAAATTTATAACCTTTCTGGATTCTTCATTTAACATTTCAGAAAGGCCAAGATAAGTGAGGAACTACATGTTTCCAATGATGGCCTTTTTTTGACATGTGATCTAAAGAGTGTATTTTCTATACAGGCACTGAACTTCCTACAATTTAACATCATGCCTGACTCTGATCTTACCAGAAGACAGCAGCCTATAGTGGAAACCTGCATATTCCAAATTCCATATTGTCCACCCAAATAATCTGCATCACCCCAACTGTCTACCGTGTGTTTCTCAGCAGGGATGCTGCTCCTGGCACTTGGGCTGGAATAATTCTCCCCAGGTGTGTGGGGGTGTTTGGATGTTTAGCATCCCTGGCCCCTACCCACTAAATGCCAGCAGCACTCCCACCACTAAAAGTCTTTAGGATGATCACATCTACAAGCACTCCCCAGGAGAGCTCTTCCTTCTCCTATGAGAACACGGGCTACTTCATGTGAAGGCTCCAAAGCAGTGACGGAGAGGCCAGCTACAACCAGGACAGGTCAGGCAACTGATTGTGCTTTTCTGGTCCCATCTTTTCTGGACCACTTATCTTTCTGCTCTTTAGGTCACGAGCTTGGAGTCATCAATGACACAAAGATGATGCAAAAAGGCCTTGGTTTTGCATAGATATTTAACTTAAAAAAGAAAATCCATGGTATCATGGGAAACCTGATTCGTGTTGGTTTAATTTGCTCCAGCTTTCTTTTCTCCTTTCCCCCAGGATTCCTCAGGATCAACTTCCCCTTGCACTATCTCTGAACTTCTACCTGAAGTTTGGTGCCCAACTGCCTAAGCTTTAACGAGCTTCGCACACTAGCTTTGCCTCCAGATAGGGCTCTCCCCTGAGGAGCCTGATCTCATGCTCTCCTCCAAAGCCATTGGCCTCAGCCCCACCTTTTCAGACTGTGGTGGAGATTCTCCAGAGAGAGCAGCCATCAGTTCTTTTCCTCCTTGCATGTGATGCCACTCCATCAAGATGAGGATCTGTCTCTTCCCTTTCTTTTTTTTTTAATTTTGTTTTTTATTGAAGTGTAGTTGACTTACAATGTTTTTTCAGATTATGGGATTACAAGAAATTGAATACAGACCCTGTGTCATATAGTAGGTCCTTGTTGTATTTTATGTATAGTAATGTGTATCTGTTAATCCCCAACCCCTAATTTTCCCTTCCCTGCCCCTTCCCCTTTGGTAACCATAGTTTGTTTTCTATGTCCATGTGTCTTTTCCCTTTCAATCTGGTCTGGCCTCATGTCTTGCTTTGATCAACAGAATGCAGCAAAAGCTATGGATGGTAACTTCTGAGACCTGGACTGCCAGGTCTGCCTGGGCTGCCAACTTCTGGGCTGCCGTGTAGAAAGCCAGATTACCCTGAGACCGCCATGCCGTAAGGAAGCCCAAGCTAACCACGTGGGAAGGCAATGTGAAGAAGCACCAAGTCACAGACCTGTGAGCACAGCCTTCCTGGACCTGCCAGCCCAGCCACCTGCTGAATTCTTCCAAGTCCCCCAGCTGACACCACATGGAGAAGAAAACTGCTCAGAGGAGTGCAGAATCATGAAAAATAATAAATCATTGTTTCCAGCCATGAGTTTTGAGATGATTTGCTATGCAGCAGTAAATGCCGAAAACACAAGATAATGGCTATGGTTAAAAATAACTCTCTCTGCCAGGTTGCATTTGGGCTGTGCTTTAAATCTCTTAATTTGGGCAGGACTCTCTGAAGCATCTTAAACAGCCTGCCAGCTCACACCAGGAAAGGAGGAGAGACGTTGCCTGTTGGCATTTCAGCTATGGCACGAACCCTCATTCACTGGCATTTTTTAAACTCTTTTTTGGTAGGATTCAACTTGCTTGCTGCATTTGGCCAAAGAAAGGAGGTTCCTCATATCATCCCAGGTATAACATCTTCTTTTGGTTCAAAGGACACAAGGATCAGCAGTAGTGAAGCTTCCTAGGAACTGGCGTTCCGCTCTCATGTTACTCCATCCCAGTTTTAGCTAGTAGATACAATTTCTCTTCAAGGGATGTCTTGGCAACCACATCCAAAATTTCATTCTCTTCCTCAGAAATCATTTTTCCCTGAAGTATAGACTCACGTTTCAATAAATCAATTGCATCATTTGTAAGATTTATTTCACCTTTGAACATGATTTGCTTATCTAGCAAATTTTTAGAATATCCTGGCGTTTTCCTTCTCAGTGCCAGAAAGCTTTTGTTACATCTCTATTTCTATGTTTTATTAACTTGCGGGAGTTTACCATCACATGTGAAAAACAGCGAAAAGGTTATGAAGTGCCTGTTACTATCTTTGCATAATCCTACCCTTCACTTCAAAAAGCTTTCAAGTACTTTCAAATCCATTTTCGGGGGCCAACTTTCTCTTTAAGCTTGGAAACCTGTAAGAAGTCAATTTTGATTTGCAATCTCTGTTACATAACCTTACCCCATAGCAAATCCCTTACAAACCAAGACAGATAGAACAATTCTAAATTAGGTACCATTTTGGCAACTACTTTAAGAAATGTTCTAATTTTTTTAAACAAAAATTTATACCAACTAGTTTATACATTCCTCTGAAATTTGGACACATCACAGTCCAAAGCATATTAGCCTGCTTATAAAGATTATTTTACCAATGACTGTCCCATTCCACAGTTCATTTAGAAAACTTTGAAAACGCTTTGAAAGATGAGTTTTTTGAGGCCATACGCGCTCAGCATCAAGGCAGAGGGCAAGAATTCAAAATCACGTTGATGAAACCAAAGCCAAAGTTTGGGCAAAGAATTGGGTTTGTTGAGCTGAGATGTATTTCTATCTGTATTTTAAAATGACCCTGGAACTGCCATAGGAGTTTACTCCAGCCTGTAGGAGTAAATGACAAGAAAATACAAGTGTAAGGAGTGAAAAGTCCCATGAACCACAGAGACATCCAGAGTGAAGATGGATTGTTTGACTTCTAAGCCTGGCAATCTGGGGAGCCTTTTGGGTCTTGCAACTCTACCCTCACTGGGCTACAGCTGGGCTCATCCAGGCTCTGTGGGTAGGTTATCTCAGTGAACTAAAACAGTACTGATGAACTAAGGTAGGATGCCCATTTCTTCAGCCCCTACCATGTGCCACAGAGTTTACGTACGTCATCTCAGTTAAGCCTCACAAGAGCCCAGACAGGTAGAAAACACTCAAAACTTAAGGAAACAAAAGCTCAGAGAGATTAAATAATTTGCTTGAGGTCATTCACTATTCTAATGAGATACCCAGGGATCTGAACTCTGATCCGATGACTCAGAGACTCTTTCCTGTACATATCAGAGCCTCTCTGAACCCCAGATCAAAGACTTTTAGCTTGTCTGCACCAACCACAGACCCTACTGCTAATCCTGCCAGGAAGCTGCCTAATGAATTCCTGGGGTGATGGAGATTAGGTAGGAAAATATGCCTGGGTAAGGAAAAATTCACCACAGTAGGTCTTGCTCACTTCTCTAGTCTCACCCTATCCCTCAAAAACACACTCTCTCCATACCAGACCCTAGCATCGCACCTGGCAGGAGCTTATGATTTTGGTGCATTCAGTCTGTCACTAATGAGAATGATGCTGGTGGTGATAATAATAACAACAGCAACAACAATCAAAAGAGTTAAAATTTAATGAGCAATTTACTACACGAGAGACACTGTCCTGCACATACTATAACCATTAGCTCTTTGGGTGCTCATAGCGACCTGTGTGGGAAGTACTATTCATGACTGCATTCCACAGATGAGAAAATTAAGGCACAGAGATGTTAAGGCACTTGTCCAAGATTACACAGCTAGCAAAGGTCAGAATTAAGAGTCAGACTAAATTAGGCTGGCTTGAGTATTTGTATTCTTAATCACTCTGCCACTATTTCTCAAACACCTGAAGAATTACTTGGGGGTTCTTGTTCAAAATACTCTTCCCAGTGCCCTTCTCTGAAAAGTCTAGTCTAGGAGGTTTGGGTGGTGACCCAGAGCCCTGTAATTTTGAAGAGCCCCATGAGATTCCTATGATGATAAACACTTCGAGTCCCCCTGCTGTCTCTCACTACTGAAGAAACTTCCCCAACGGCACATTTGAGCACTGACAGAAACATCATTTTTGCAAAGAAGGGTGAATTAATTTATACGTACAGGTAGAGTAACTCCCTATGGGGAAAAAATGTTTTGCTCTTTCTTCCTCCAACACATATAGCTCAAAGGAAGGTATTGGGGGAATGGAGTTGGTTAATGGCTGAATTTTCTCTGGTGTTCCTGCTCTCCTTACTCATACAAGCCTTCCTCAGCACATTATTATAGCTTTTCTAATACGGCAGATGGATTTTTCTTCTTCTGCCTCGGAAGTTTGAACAAGAGAGAGGAAGCTTGGATAAGGCAGAAGAAGCCCTTGTTCCTGCAATAGTTGTGATATTGGAAAGGCAAGACACCAGCTCACTGACAATTGAGGGGTCAGCAAGATGGTGGTCAGGGTCAGAGCAAGGATGACCTGTTGTGTCAGATGGATCCTTTGAGGAGCAGATCCCAAGTTAGAATTAGACGTGCGAGAGATTTCTTGGGAAAAACACCTGTAAGGATAAAAGGAAAAGAAACAGGAGAAGCCAAGGAGAGCCTTCAGATTGTGATGTAGATTTGACACCAGGGAAAGAAGAAAGGAGGGGTTGGGTCAGAAAAACTTCAGACTGCAGCAAAACCCTGAGAAAGCATTGGCAAGGCTGGTTCGAAGCTCCTAAGCAAGAGCTGTCAGGAGGGTTTTACACTGTGCTGGGCTCCAGTTCGGCCACTGGGATCAGTCACGGTTGAGGTGCAGACTGGAGCAAGAGTGGCCTGGAAGAGGTGCCGTGGCAGATCCCCAGCTGTGGTAGCAGGAGGCTGTCAGTTAGCTCTGCTTTCTGCAGCAGGTAAGATGTGAGGGGCCTCCCTCCATGGGTGTCACATATGCGTGGCTACAAAACTTGTGTTTAGTCCTGAAAGCAAAAGGTCTTTTAGAAAATGCAATGGGAAGATAAAGAGACTAGTCGGTAAGCGACTGCAAAAATGCAGCCAAGAATGGAAAAGAACTAAACTCAAGGAAGTGGCTATGGGAAGCAAGGCATGAGTCAGATTCAGAAGAAAGAAAAAGTTTAAAATGTTGGCTCTGCCAAAGACACCATGAAGAAAATGAAAAGGCAAGTCCAGACTCAGCAAAAATATTGGCAAAATATATATCTGGTAAAGGATTTGTATCTAGAAAATATAGAGAACATTTACAACTCCATAATAAGAGACAGACAATGCAATAAAAAAAAAGAGCAAAAGATATTAATAGACACCTCACCAAAGGAGGCAAATGGATGGCAAATTTCATGCAAAGATGCTCAACATCATTAGCCATTAAGGAAATACAAAATAAATGATAATGAAATGCCCTGCTACGCCTATTAGAATGGCTACTATTAAAAGACAGATAGACAATCCAAGTGTCAATGAGGATGTGGAAAAATGGAAACTAAATCCACTGATAGTGAGAATGTAAAATAAATCATGCAGTTTGTAAAACTATGGCAGTTTCTTAAAAATTTAAACATGCACGTACCATATAAACCAGCAATTCCAGTACTAGATATCCACCCAAGAGAAACAAAAACCTATATCCACACTAAGACTTGTATGAGAATGTTCTTAGTAATCATAATACTGGAAAAGCAACCAAATGTCCATCAATAAGCAAAATGGAATATACAATGGAATAGTATATACACCTATACAATGGAATAGTATATACATCTATACAATGGAATAGTATCAACTATGAAACACAACAAACTAAAATTGGTACGTGCAACAGCATGGATGAGTCTCAAGATCACTTTCCAAACATCACAGTAAGTGAAAGAAGCCAGCTACAAAAGCCTTCAAAGGATGTGATTCCATTCATACGATATTTCTAGAAAAGGTGAAACTGTAGAAACAGATAGGTGGTTGGTTGAGGCCAGAGTGGGAGTGCAAAGAGGCCCAGGGAACTTTCTGGTATAAAGGGAGTGTTTTAAAACTGCATTGTGAAGATGGTTGCACAACTATACCCATGTATTAAGACACACTGAAGAACATGTTTAAAGTGAGTGAATGTTATGAAATGTCAACTGAATCCCAAGAAACTGTTAAGAATAAAAAGAGCTAAGAAGGCAAACAAGATGGGATATGGCAACTGATTGTATCTCTGGAGGGTAAGGTTGGAGGAGAAGTCAAGGAAGATGCCAGGGTTTCTGACTAGGGTCCTGTAAGGAGGATAATGCTATAAAATAATATTGGGCATATGAGGAAGAGCAGATTTAGAGTTTAGCTTTGGACATATTCATTTTGCGCTGGCTGTTGAGCACACAAGTGAAAATTTCCAATAAAGAGGTGGAATGAATGGTCTAGAGATCATGAAAGGGATGGGAGTTGGAAAGTGATTTGAGAATCATCCACTTTTAGGAGGGAGCTGAAGTTCTGTAAGAGTGGCTGAAGTCATTCAAAGAGAATGTTCAAGTGAGGCCTCCTACTGCAGTAGAAATACATTTTCAACTAATTATGAACAGCCTAATGAAGATCAGCTTCCCTCGGGAGTATTTCATTATTTGTGTGCGGATAGGAGGGAATTTCCCTATATTTCGTATATTTTTTCTGGTAGCTCAAGAGCTTAGAAATTATGCTTCTAAATGTCAGACCCATTATGTGGAGGTAATTTAATCCAGCTTGTGTTGTCAAATACTTATCTTATGTCACATGACGGGAAGCTGAACCACAGCCAAATGAACAATATCTGAGGACCTACCAGATGCATAACAATGTGCTGAACACTCTTAGGATGGCAAGGGAATTTAAGTCTCAGAAGCCGATTTCAAGAAGTTTACAATCTGGCCCTGTAGATTCTGTACCTCTTCAGCAGATGGATTCTGGGGTGGACAGAGAATGGTGGAAAAGAACTAGAGAATCTGTTACCCCACGAGGAGAAGAAACAGTCTACAAGGATCTGTTGTGTTATTTGTCTCTATAATAATACTTGACTGGAAATAGGTTGGAGGACATT